ATATTTATATATATTAACTCGTCACTACGACACACGTGCATGGGATATACATACTTCTGCAGCCGCACAGAGGTGGACTGCACTGGGTTGCACTTGATAGTTGCGATGTTGGTGAGGGTGGTCTCTTTGCTGCGGAAAAGGCACTCATTCAGCCACTTGCTTCTGTCATGGGGCGATTCCCTAAGCGAATAGTATGAGCGAATAGTATAAGTAAGTGGTACAAGCAAACGGTATATGTAAATGGTTTAAGCAGATAGTGCAAGTGAATAGTATATGTAAATGATGGTATAAGCAAATGGTATAGGTAAATGGTTTAAGCAGATAGTGCAAGTGAATAGTAAATTTAAATGATGGTATTAGCAAACGGTATAGGTAAATGGTAGAAGCAGATACTTTAAGTAAATAGTATATGTAAATGATGGTATAAGCAAACGGTATAGGTAAATAGTTTAAGCAGATAGTTTAAGTAAATAATATATGTAAATGATAGTTGAAGCGCATAGTATGAGCAAATAATAATAACACACACCACACATCACACACCACACAACACACAACATACAACACACAACATACAACACACCCCACACACCACACCCCACACACTACACCACATACAACATACAACACACAAAAACACCAAACTACATACAACACACAACACACAACACACAACATATAACTACAACATACAACACGCAACATACAATACACAACACACAACACACAACACACAACATTTAACTACAACATACAACACACAACATACAACACACAACACACAACATATAACTGCAACATACAACAAGCTCACCACAAATCACACATCACACAAAAACACCATACTACATACAACACACAACACACAACACACAACATATAACTACAGCATACAACACGCAACATACAACACACAACACACAACATAAAGCTAAAACATACAACACACAACACACAACATATAACTACAACACGCAACATGCAATACACAACACACAACACATAACACACACCAAGCACACCACACATCACACATCACACAAAAAAACACCATAATACGTACAACACACAACACACAACATATAACATACAACATACAACACACAACATATATCATACAACACACAACACACAACACACACGCGTATACCTCACGGTCTCCACCCCGCCATCGATTCCAAATGTTGTTGCTTTACTTTCCTGGAGACGTTCGAATCTGTAACACAACACAGGCGATACAAAGCCCGGAATTAATGAGCATACAGAAAGTGTGTGTGTGTGTGTGTGTATGCGTGTGTGTGTGTGTGTATGTGTATGTGTGTGTATGTATGTGTGTGTGTGGTGGGGGGAGATGTGTGCGTGTTAGATGTCTGGAAAACATGCACATACGTGGATGGGCAGTGAGAGGGTACAAAGGCGGTGGTGTAGCATTCGTTCAAGGAACACTCCTGACGAATTGGTAAGTAGCTAATTGGTACAAGTGCACGGATTTACCTACAGGGCTTCTGACGGTTTAAATACTTTCATGTCTTTAATTTGTTGTATGTACCAATATTAATCCCGGTAGGTATACGTCTACTAATTTTTACGCAAGAGTATGAATCTAACATGAGCCGGTATCAGGTGCTTTCAACAAATAACTTTTAAACATATATATATATATGTATATGTATACGTATAATGTAAATGTAAATGTAGATGTAAATGCAAAAATATACATATGCATATATATATACATATTACGTACACACACGCACACACATACACACACACACACACATATATATATATTTATATATATACATTGCACACACACACACACACCCATCC